ATGTCGTCACGTCCATAAAATCTCAAATTATGATACTTTATTCCCAAGACCAAGTGCTTCATAAAAAAACTTCGTCCCGCGGTTTCGGTTCTCCAACCTATTTCAATTTTTGCTAAATACAGTCTAGGATGTCCCCAAGTCCTCGGATGAGTCATGCAAGTTGTGTCATCCAGAAAGTATTCGGAAAAGTTCCATCTTCGTATTTTAAAATGCAAAAAGCATTTCTACGCAAAATCCCAGTCGTAAGTTGGCGCCATTATTTTTTTTTCATTTCTATTTCTTCGTCTGGGCTCGGCTCGACTTTTTGTCGAGTTTCTTCGATGTGGAATGAGCCATTCAGTCCTAATATAAACAAATTGATGAATTATTACAGAATATCAAGAGACAGACTGAATTATTCTTCAATTCCCATGGGGATACCGCGATACGAGACTTCCGTAGTTGTTTCAATTTATCATTGTTACTTGGGGATCGATTTCCTTCTTTGTTTAATCCGCGTATCAGTACTTGGAAGATGAAAAACATTACTTGAATGTAATACGTTTTGTTATCAATGCGATTGCGATAAAAAATCGAAATTGAAAATTGCCCTGTATCATCTACAATGAATAAATAGAATTTACTTGATTTAAGTGTAAAGAAGGAATGAGAACATAAAATATTGCATTTATATTTATTTCAACATAAATAATTATTAAGAGAACGCATTTAAGAGCATAATTAACATGAACTATAATAATCATGAATTTCTGGAAATTACTCGAAGGAAGAAGTGCTATACAAGAAGATTGAATTCTCCTCTAAAGAAATGAATGAATATATGACAAAAATATTTATAATATATATAATAAATTTCTCTCAGGGGAGAATAAACATTTGCTGGACGGATTGCGGTAGATCAAAGGAATATAATTTGTTATTCATCAGGGGACTCTTTGTGTTCCATTGCCGAACCCCAAGGATCACCTTGCGAACTCCAAATGTAAACAACACGGTTGAGTGGAGAAAAAAGGGTATAAATCTGGTGGAAGAAATACCACCGACAATAGCTCGGCATCATAAACAAAAATATACTTTCAATTCTCAATTATATAATCAAAAATAATTTTCTTTATAACAGTCACATGAAGTTTTTTATTTTATGAAACAATTAGAAAAAAAATGTTATGATTTTATAAATCAATTTTTTACTTCCATTTTTGTGGGAACCGATGGGGAGAGTTTAGTGTTTATTTAATCTTTTTTTATCAGAGCTTATTGTTTACAAGAATTAAAGTCGTCTTTTGGGCGTTTTCAGTTTTTTGTGAATATTCCTAGAATTATGGGGGGATAGGGGAATCCTTGTAATTATTTTTCATATTTCTCACACGTCAAAAAAATATTTCGATAAAAAATTTGCAATTTCCTGGGATTTTTGGATATTTTTTGAAAAGCGCACCGATGAGTTGTTGTTTTGTTCTGTCCCAAAATGGTTGCTCACGATTTCTGAATTTATGTTTGACAGCATAAGAGACTAGAACGATGGAAGGGAAACCCATCGGAAGGAGTCGAGGTCGGGCTCGATGTATTCCAGGAGATGACAAGCCAGCAAAGGCTCCTCGAAGTGCTTTTGGACGTCCTGCAGGTGGCCCTGCCTCAGTAGGCGCTCTTCCAGCAGAATCAGTTTCCTTGGGTCAGAGAGGACTCCCAATGAGTATTGGACGTTCTGTAAGAGCACCAGCACCTTTTCACGTGCCTTTCAAACAGGGAGAGGTGCCCGAAGGACCCAAATCGCTACCACCGCTGGAGGTAGCACTGCCTGGTCCCGGAGGTGATGGTGGTGGGTGTGTGGGTAGAGGTTCCTTGAGAGGCAGGAGAATCGTCAGTGGTGAAATCATCAACACTCGCCCAGAACATGTTACCTTATGTAAAAAAGGAATTTCAGGGGATGTCATTAATTTGACAACCAATTACTACAAAATCTTGGAGAAACCTGACTGGTGTCTGTACCAGTACAGAGTTGATTTCAAACCGGAGGAAGATCGCACGATTGCAAGGAAGGGATTGCTACGTCAGCATCGTCAGGCACTGGGATCGTACATTTTTGATGGAACAGTTCTGTACACTACCAACAGACTGACAGCACCTGATCAGAATATGGTAGTGCATTCACAACGTCTCAGTGACAACTGCATCATTGAAATAACGATCAGACTTGTTGGGGATATGACAAAAGGAGATCCTCATTACCTTCAATTCTACAATATTTTGACAAGAAAGTGTCTGGAGTCTCTAAATCTTCAACTAGTGGGGAGAAATTATTTCGATCCACAAGACAAGGTGGAAATAAGAGAGTACCAGTTTGAACTGTGGCCTGGTTATATCACATCAATTCGTCAACACGAACGTGATGTTCTTATGTGCGCTGAGATCAATCACAAGATCATGAGGCAGGAGACACTACTCCATATTTTGCAGGACATCAGAGAGAGAAGTCCTGGAACTTACCAGAACACCTTCAAGTCAGAAGTTATCGGTCTCACTATTCTAACGAGTTACAATAACAAGACCTATCGCATTGATGACGTGGATTTTCAACAGAGTCCTCAGAGTACATTCTTTTCCAAAAAAGATAATGCACAAGTGATGTATATGAACTACTATAGTCAACGATATGGGATTAACATTAAGGTACCCACACAGCCACTTCTTGTGACACGTTCCTCAGGTCGTGATCGTCGTGCTGGGCAAGATGAAATTATTTATTTAGTTCCTGAATTGTGTAGAGCTACAGGTCTCACTGATAAAATGAGGAATGATTTTCGTTTGATGTCTGCATTAGCACAGCACACTAGGGTGACTCCACAGAGGCGTATCGATAAACTCCTCGCTTTTAATCGTCGACTAAATAGTACACCAGCAATCCAAGAGGAATTCAAAAATTGGAACTTGACACTCGATTCACAGCTCGTGAAACTTCAGGGACGACATTTACCTAATGAAAACATTCATTTTGGTGATGCCAAATTTGTGCAAGGCGGACCTGAGGCAGATTGGACCAAAAGTATCAGAGATAACAGCCTGTTCATTACAAATCAGCTCAAGCAGTGGATTGTGGTGGTACCAGAGAGATCTGCACGTGATGCTAGGGTAAGTCTTCTAATTTTTATCAGTTCCCACAATCGTGAAAAATCATTACAAAATGGAATTTGAAATTTCATTGCTGAATACTTGAGAAATGAAGGAAAATCAGTGGAAAATACACAAGATAAAATGCACTATTAATATTTTTATTATTATGAGGTTCATGGCAATCCAAAAATCAAAAAATTCTGATATTAATTTCTCTTCGTATCCATGTTTATTTAAAATTAGTTGAAAAATTTAGATGTAAAAAACAATTCATGCTTAAACGAGTGGAATTTTTATATTTCTATATTTATCCAGAGTTTTGTTGCTGGAATGGTGCGTTCTACTAAAAACTTCGCCATAAGTGAGCCTCAGTACCTCGAGATTCGCAATGACAAATCTGATTCTTACACTGATTGTCTCGAGAAGATTTTGTGTAAAGTCAGTCCCCAGCTTGTCATGTGTATTCTCACTAAAAATCGTGCTGACACATATTCAGCAATAAAGAAAAAGCTGTGCATTGATCGTCCCGTTCCAAGCCAAGTCGTAACAGCTCGTTGCTTCAACCCCAAAGGAATGATGTCAATAGCAACAAAAGTTGCTATTCAAATCAATTGCAAAATTGGAGGAATACCCTGGACCATTCATAATCCCCTGGGTGGAGTAATGGTGGTTGGATATGACGCATGCCATGACACAAACAAACGAGAGACAGATTTCGGTGCAATGGTAGCTTCTCTGGATAGAAAATTGAGTCGATATTTCTCTGCAGTCTCAGCCCACAAATCTGGAGAGGAATTGTCCAGTCATTTCGCTGCGAATATGGTGAAGGCTTTGGAGAAGTACAAGCAAGTGAACAATGGTGCACTTCCCAGTCACATTATCGTGTACAGAGATGGTGTTGGTGAGGGACAAGTTCCATTCGTTGTGGATCACGAGGTCAGCCATGTAGAGGAAGCTATCACCAAGTTCTACAATAATGTGCAGCCTGTTAAATTGGGGTACATCGTCGTAACCAAGAGGATCAATACGAGATTTTTCCAGGGTACTAGGAACCCTTTGCCAGGCACAGTAGTCGATGATGTTGTGACTAATCCCATGAAGTACGATTTCTTCCTGATTTCACAGAGTGTCAAGCAAGGAACTGTTGCACCAACATCTTACAGTGTCATTTATGACTCACTTCAGCTCACCCCAGACAAGCTCCAGCTGCTGACCTATAAGATGACTCACCTTTACTTCAACTGCAGCACTACCATGAGAGTCCCAGCACCAGTGCAGTTTGCCCATAAACTTGCCTTCTTGGTGTCCCAATCAATTCACGCAGCACCAACTAATGATCACCTTGCAAGTCTTCTCTACTTCCTGTAAAACAGAAAGAGGGGTAATCGTAACGAGATCAAATTCTTTGAAGTTTTCTTTGAAGATTTTTTTGATTGAGTGTCTTTTCACAAAATCGGTTGAAGAACAGTCCAAAGGTGCAATAAAGAAAGAGGTTTTGTTTAAACTCAGGAGAGAAGAAAGTGAGACGATTCAAAAAATTCTAATCAACTATTTTCGTTTTGTTTTGTCGTCAGAAAATGTGGAGGATTTTTTTCCTGTTTGATACTACTGAAGTTCATTGAAGAGTAATTTATATTCTGAGGGGATTGTTGTACGTAGTAGTTTTTTTTCAGAATTTTTCAGGATTTTATTGCATTAATAATCGCAGTCTGTTGACATTTGCGTTGACAGCAGAATTTCAATTTGACAAAAAAAAAACGTCGGTATCACGATGCGTACTCAATATAAGAGTTTATTTAATTGTATAAAAACAAAATCTTGAAAAGTTCTGGGAAAATTCATGGACGATTTAATGCGTATGATTGACGTACTACAGAATTTCCGCATTGCTGTTATCACTTTCGTTTTACATATGCAACCATTAATTTTTTTATTATTTATTACTAGCTTGATGATTATACGGAATATACAGAATCAGAAGGAAAGCGTGGAAACGTAGAGGAAGTATAACAGATTCATGCGGATGATAACACTCGATATGAATGGATTTTTTGATGTTTTCAAAGTGAATTTTTCTTGGAGAAGTTTTAAAAGATAGATGACTGTTATGGACCAAAGTTTATTAAGAAAGACTGAAGAATTCACTATTCACATTAATCATTTACTCTTGACAAAATGATGACTTTTTATTTATGTTCTTTTTATAGCGTTCATCTGTTGCTGAAACAGATAATTTACAATCTAATAACATAAGAATTTTCATTTTAAAGGATTGGAGTTGACAATCTAGATTTATTTTCTGACATGAATTTTCTCACTTCTCTTGAATATATGGCATCAACAAAAAATCTATGGAGTTTGTAAAAATTTGACGACTATGAAAGAAAGTGTGAAAATCGATTTCACAGAGTTAAACAGTTCGTACATAATACACTGACAATTTTTTCCTGGTGAAAAAAATGTAAGACTATAGTTTCAATATAAAAATTGAACTTGTTTTTCTAAAAATCTTCTGGAATAATGAAATTATTCAATTTCGTAGGAGAATTGCAAACAACGCGCAGTGGAGATCAAAATATTTTTCGTTGTGTTTAAGCATTTGGAAATGCTAAATTACTTGACTTGTTTAGTTCTGTTATAATTTCTCACTGTTCTGGGGTGTACCCAGTTTACACCAAATTTTGTTTCTTGTAATATCACGAAGGTGATAACTCGATAAATAAAATATTAAACACCAATCCATTAAAATTACTCCATTTAACAGAACTATAAAATTTATCCCACTTTGTCACTGATTGCATCTCGCAAATTGGCGATTCCTCCGAGCTGCCCACACCCTGTCATCCCTCAAAAATTCTCTGCAATTCCCGTTCCCTAGAATCGACAAAAAAACATAAAAATCTCTATCATATCCCTTCAACGAGAGAAATAGCATATTATACAACAAGATGAACTTGATGGAATTTTTGGCTCGTGGGAGTCGCACGTATTTCAAATACTATTTTATATTATTGGCTCCATAATTCGCGATTTTGGCGAGCGAATTGAGGTTAGAATCGCGTGATTACAGGTACCGATGACATAAAAAAATATTCGAATATAGTCTCCGAAAAGCTCACCTGAATAAAAAAATATCGAATGAGAAAAAAAATTAGCCAAATAAATTTATTGAGAACACGAGAATATATTCAGCATCAGCATATCATCTGGAGGTATTTCTTCCGCAGATGTAAACCCAAAGTAAATAAATTTATAAAAACAATTTGGATATGTCATTATTGCTGAAAGGGGAGAGGATCGGGCGTCCTCTGGACATCGGTAACAGGAGCGAAAAGAGAGGTGGTGAGTAGCGCCATAACTTGTAAAACTCTCCGCATCGTCTCGCCCCGAGGTTGAGTCAGCCATATTGAAAATTTAACCAGTGTGTAATGTCTGCATGTGGCAATAGGTGGGGGACGTTTGTTAATGTGGTGTGCATTTCGCTCGTGAAATCTGTCACAAATGGGTAATTATAATAATCGTTGTTTACACATTAGTTGACTGATAGCAAATGAATTGGGGTGAATGATAGTATTGGTGTGAAACTGTCCAATTGTTAGGATAATAATAAAAAAAAAACACATTGTCTGAATGTTGGCGTAAAGTGAGCGCGGGGGCGGGGGCAGTTGGAGCCCAGACGACCGTTCGATCGCGAGTGAAAAACGGCTCTTGTGTCAACTGTGAAAATCCCATTTTGCCTGCGTATTTCCATTGATTATTTTTCATACCCCCGAAAACAAAAAAAATCCGCACTTCCATCTTTACGCAATCCTCACCCATCTTCCCCCATCACCCGGCCATCCGACAATCCAACAATTCCATAATTCCATTATTCCACCGTGCATATCCCCTCGAACACAAGTGAATCAAGATTATTACATATTTCTACAACACCAGTGAAGTTTTACCTCTTATTCTCCGTTGAATTTTGCTGATTCGATAATCCCGTGGACAAATTCTCCCATAATCATTTTTCGGGTGTAGTTGAGAGCCACTCGAAAATTTATTCTTCAATCGTATGGACAGAGTCCCGTAATCGCCAAATGCTCGCTTTCTAGGTTACTAACCAGGACGTGCGGTTATTATTATTATTTTAATCTGGGATTTGTGAGTTTTTCGAGGGATATTTTTGGTTTGCTAGTGTTTGATGGATCAAGTGAGTTTGAAGGTTAATGTGGAGTTTTTTCACAGTGTAATTATGGGGTTCTGAATGTGTCAAGCCCTGGAGGAATTTTCAACCGCCCTTTTCACACATTTTACAAGTGGTGATTTTACTTTGGACTTTTAAATATTGGAGATACTTGTAGAAATTCAGCGGTCGTATGTGCCACTACGTATTTACTTTTTGTTGACTATGTAAGTAGATGAATATACAGCGTCATATACGTTTGGTGTAAAAATATACAGATTTGGTATTGAGTATTGGCCACTCGAGCTCCACATATTTATTCCATTTTTTTAATGCCCTCATTTTTTATTTTTACTGAGGTTTTGTGTGATGTTTAGGTGTGAAATTCGATTCATATCTCGAGTCTCGTTGTTAGAGGGAAATTTTTAAAAAATGGGGTAAATATATATGTAATGGTCGACCTCGAAGGACTCGACTGCGAGGTCGAGTCAATGGTGAACGAGTTTTCAGTCCCTTCACTTTCAGGTGGAGATTCTGGTGTAAAGACACTATTCCCTTGGACCTTCCCTCATATTTATGAGCTAATTTCACTTTTCCATAATCAGTAACTGAATACAGTTTTTCGAGAATTAAATTATTGACGCATCACATTGAATGAGGGATTATATTCAAAAGAGAAAAAAGATGCGTTTTTTTGTTAACTTCAGCTACAGGAGACGTCTTCTGGCGTTTACACCTGAGCTGGGTTTTCAAAATAAACTCACAATTTACAAACAATGGAGAGTTTGAGTCTTGACTGTTTTACAATTTCGAATCACCACAAACTTCCATAATTTGTACTTTCAGCTGAGGTTTTTATCTCTATTGGTAGAGTTCATGTTTTCTCTGCCAATTCTCTATATTCGGTATCGTCTGCCTGACAATAAACGTGTTTTAAGATTGAGTCTAACTTTCCTCAGGGTTTTCTAAGTGTTCTTTTTTTTTGCAACGAGTTCAAGTTTCTCCGGCTATTTTCACGTTTCAATCGTGATGATGATTTTTTTTTCTTTACTGAGGGAGAAACCACTGGAAGTGGGCGAATTGTGGGTGGGGTACATATGGGGCAATTGATTTTGAGAATTTCGAATAACGGACAATGAGGGATTGAATAATTCGCTGCAGTTGTCAAGCAGAATGTAACGTCAGACGCAATGGAATTTGGCAACGGAAATGGAATGATTTTTTTTTTTTAATGAAGCGGAAGGGTGGGGGCGGTATGACCACTTCAGGGTCGTCTAACAATTATCGGTGCAAATGGGTTCACCGACACGATGAAAATTCGCCAATTATACCTTCTCATCGAATTTTCTCGTTTCCGTGTATCTTTGTATTTTTATTCCACCTCGTGTTTATACGATTTTAGTCATCGCCAGGAAATCCTTCTGCGATCGAAGTGCTCTTTCATTAGGCCGTCTGTCGTTGGCAACTGCTTGTTACCCTTTTGCACTCATCCCTGAACGGATGTACGAGAGAATATGACAGTAATTACGTAACGTGGGGTTCAATCAACGAAAAGTGGAATTTCGGGCTTTAGAGATATCTGGATATAAGATTTTTTTGTTAATCGACAGGACGCGTAACGAGAAACTTAATTCATCTTTTTTGCAGGAAATCCGGAGATATTTCATTATTTTTTTATTTAATACTCGAGTTGAATTCACGTATTTATCAATTAACGAAAAGTTTTTGGAGGTTTTGGCTTTTAAACAATGAGAGAGTTTTATCATAATTTTTCATAACACATTGCAAAATTCTTCATCATTGTCAATTATTTTAGAGTATTTATTTCACATATGTGTGATGAACATTTTTATTCCAAAAAATTTCGCGTTATAAAAAAAAAAAATCGCTGTAGAAAAATATTAACGCGAGTTAATCCCTCGAATCTTTCCATCCCAAAACGGAATTATAAAATATCTGCAAAGCTCAGTGAAATTGTTTATTGAGTGCACACATTGATATCTCTGGAGTGGAAACGGTTGAAGGCTTTGAACTTTTTGTTCTTTTATTATTTATGAATGCTCATGCCCCTTCACACTCCACTAATAAATATCACTGGATAAACCAGTGTATAATAATAATGACTTATCAGGAATAGTTAAAACGACCGATATTTTTTTACAATAATTATTTAACAATTTTCGTAGTGCCAATTAGATGTAAAAATAATATTTGTCAAGACGTTGGAAGTGAAGGGAAATAATGACATTTGGATTTCATTGTTAATCAATACTGAAGGAACTCTAAATTACTGTACAAATTTAAAGGTGAAATAGCTCCGGTGCACCTGCACCTGTGTAAATGACAAGTGCACGATCTAGACACCAGGTTGTCCTTAAAATCCAGATAACACGAAATGTACATTCCATTTGATGATTCATAAGGATACAAATGTTGTTATTCTTTTGAATTTTATTTCGCGTCGAGCTAAAATAGAGATTATTCTTATCAAAAATTCCTTACGTCACATTTCGTCACTGGAGCGTTTAACTCCAAAACAAACGTCTTGAGGTGAAGATAGTAATAATATTTATTTAGTGGTGATGACGGAGAAAATGATGGGATGGGGGTATGAGCACAAGTCGAATGCGAAAGCGTTTTGGTGAATCAGCAAGAGAGTTTTACACACTTTTTCAAACGTGTGGTCATACGCGGAAGGAAGCTGACCTCCTTTTTAAATTCAAAGTCTCGCCTCAATCAACACCTATTCAACTTGCCTCATCAAGTGATGCATTCCGATTGACAATGTCCTCTATATTAATTGCAGAAGGTACTCCAAGAGTACAGGATTCAATTAATTACAAAATTCTAGCATTGAGCGAATGTTTACTGGGGTTAATTTAATTAAAAATGTACAGCAACAATTATCTGAGGAATGTCCTGAGCCCTGATGAATTTACTATTTTCGTAGGGACAAATAATTTTCAGGATTTCATTGGAATTCTGGGAAAATCTATAAACAAAAATCTAGTTTATCGTAGTCCTTCGTTGTGTGTGCTTCATTGATTTTTTTTTCTGAGAAAGTAATTCGTCCTTTCATGAGATATTTTTAGATTCTACGAGTATTACGTTATTGATACTTCATTGAGAGAAAATTTATCCAGAATAAATATGAATAGTGTAGAATAAATTTCAGCACTGAATGAACTTCCGTAAACGTTTGTTTCCATTTTTTCTCGCACTGTCGTTTTTGCGTTAATGGACTTTCCACCAGAGCTATTGTGGGATTTTGATGTTTAAATCAAATCCAACAATCCCTGGTGCAATTACCGTAGCACGAAAGCTAGCTTTCGCTTTTTTATTAGTCGTTATAACTATTTCTCCTATTCTGTAATTAATGCAGGTAGGAGGAAGTGAATTACACCCAGAATTAATTTCATAACCTTGATAAACAAATTTTTTAAAACTTATATGAAATATGATTTATTGTTTACTCCCGAGATATTGTAATTATTCAATTGTAAAACTTCTCATTTTTAATCGAACGTTATTATATGAATATTATATGAAATATACATTCAGTCAAAATTATCCAACCGTTCGGTAATTATATTGTTTTACAGCCGTTAATTTTCATTAAATTAATTTATAATAACAGTAATTTCTGTTTTTTCTCAAGCGGTTGGATAACTTTCACTGAAATGGGCATTCGACAAATTTTACTATGAGAGAAATTAACGATTACTAATTTATTATCCAAAATAACAATTCGAAGGAATATTATTCTGATTAATTTTGATTTGTTTAGGCGTAGGGGCAGAAGCTGCTGCACCGAAGTGTTGGAGGGTTTGAGGCAGTAATCCTGGCTGGCCTACAATGTACAATACCATGCGGAGCACACTGCAAACTGTTCCCGAATCCGTGCCCGCCGATCGCGTCACAAACTCAAAAGTAAGTTAGAAAAACATCCATCTTATTTTTCAATCAATATCGTCATCCATTTTGCTCGTTGGTTGAATTTCGTTGTGAATCACAAACAAGACAAGTTCGAATCTCGAGTCCTCACGCGACAAAAACGACTAATCATGTTTGAAATCTAATTGATATTTCCAATCATGTAGATTTCTCGTTAATTACGAAATATAAAGAAAAATCTCAAAGAGTATTCACTGGATTTGAATTATTGAAAGTGGAAGTAATATTCTCAAATCTTGATTTAATGAATGATTTTTTCAAATTTAATTGAAAAACGAGGACTTCATATTTTCTTTATTTATTGTGACTTTCGTAATTATTTAAATTACGCATTAATGGCAGGTCTTTTTGAATCTCTAGACTTCAGCGATATTCGACAAGTAATGAAGGAGATTTCGAACTTCCCTTGTTTGAGGACTTCACAACCGAATTATCATCATAAATCCCTCACGCACAGGATTTTCCGTCAACTTTAAGATGGGGTTACTACTCCCAAAACGGGATAGACTGTTGGAACGTTTAAGCTCAATTGCTCAGTAAATTCCAAATGATAATTTATGTCATTTCACTGAAACTTCCATTAACTCCGTCAATCAAAAATCAAATTATTCGTCATGAAGTTAATTTAGAAGAGATTAATCTCTTAATGGAACCCTGTGACACGAGAAAACACGTACGTGAGGGATTTGTTCATTGCAAATTTGTGACAGTTGATACGTCATCCCGCTTAATTGGAAAGTGTACGTTTGCGGGTGTGGGTATCGTTGTTATGTTTATCAACAATTCTAACCGATCTGTGATTCTCAACAATCCATTTTGCGTCCTCCGCAATGTTTTTACTTTACTGATTGATAAGCTAGAGATAGCGCAATCCCCGAGAGACAAAAGCGGTAATTTTTTCTATTTTCGCTTTGTTAAAAAGTTCGATGGTTTGGTATTTATTCTGAAAGGACACGATATTGATTCTCAATATCGTATTATCCGCGGTGAAATTGGGAAGATAGTCAGGGATAAACGAAATTGTTTTTTTAACTTCGATAAAAAATCGATGTCACGAGAAATTAAATAAGTATTATCAGATTTTGGAGAGACTGTTCTGTTATTTTCAGCGATTGAAAATGATATTGGGAAACACTCGAAATTGAATCTTGATAAGATTAAAAACTGCAAGAAAAATTCTTTCGAATCAATTCTACTGAGAAAACAGTTATTGAGTTCTTCTCCATTCATCTGAACTATCGATTACAATAATTATTGAATGGTCTCGA